AAATCTATTGATGATGTGCAGCATTCTGGCCTCATAGCGGGAGTTTAGAGCGCAGTCGTCAGCAAATAAAAGGTCTCTAATTTTGTTTTAGCTCGAAGTCTCCTCACATTAAACAAGCTGCCATATGTACGGTAATTTAAAGCAATCGCTGGATCATCACCATCAAAGACATTGACAATCATAGCAGTAAATGTCATACTAAACAATTTGGCTCAAGCACACATCCTTCATTTACTCCGTTTGAGACAGGGAAAGGGTCAGACAGTTTTTCCTTTCTCCAGCACTCTGGCCTGCATACCTTTATGGAACTGCTGTACAATCCTAGTAAACTTCTGAGGGTATATGCAATGTGGTATAAACATGTTTTATGTATATATTACAAATCTCTCCGATCTGTGTATTGTTATTTTGTACAGACCTGTATAGTGTTATATTGTTTAGACATCGGAATCATTGCTCTGTTCAGACATTTGCATTGTAATTGTCATAAAGCATGTGCATTATTACTTTGCTCAGACATGTGCACTGTTACTGAGCAAGGTAACAAGTAGCTCTACTTGAAAAGCATGGTCGAATGCTGCAACGCATTTTATGACCCTTTTCCCTCCCTTCAGGCACATTGGGCACATAGGGCTAGACATATTTTATAAACTCCTCGGCACTTAGCAGGCGATGTGGTCAACAACTCTATGGTAACCTTTATTTCCCATGACTTTACTTGGTACCTAGTTAAGAATGGGTCGACCTGGAAGCCAATGTAATTTTAGAAAAAAAAAAAAAAATTTCCGGCCCCAGTCAGGACCTAAACCCACGACCTTCCGACCCGTAGGCGAGCGTCAAGCGTCTACACCACGGCACCTCCATCCTTGGTAAGGTGTTGGATTGTTTCTATCGGGGGCAAAAGTAGAATCCTGATGTTCAGTGTGTGGGGGTTGCATTACGAATGCGACCATATATCCTTATGCTCAAAATCCCGCTGCCTTACACCGTCCTAACAAGTCGTAAAGAAAATTATTCATGGCTGTTAGTAAATTACTTTTCACTGATACCGCCCCCCCCCCCCCCACACCCCCTTTTTTTTTTTTTCAAACATATAATCAGATACTTAATCCTAATGTCCGTTATCTGTAGGCGTATCTAATCATGTTGCTTTTCTTATCTCGGAGTGGCCTCGTTCCCTGTGTTATCTGAAGGTAAGTAGGTCACATGTCAACAGGTATATTAGAAACACACCAGACAGTAGTATTCTACTTCAGGTGGATAACGTTAACAGTGTGACGGCCCGATATCGTAAGTAAATGTTCTGTTATGTAACAACATACTGTGTGGTAATTGTGTTCTGTGTATATGGGAAGAGGGAGCTGTTGTATGTGTGTGTGAGAGAGAGAGAGAGAGAGAGAGAGAGAGAGAGAGAGAGAGAGAGAGAGAGAGAGAGAGAGGGGGGGGGTCCTGTGACACAATATGAAGGTGTGGGGGCGGGGCGAGACCTTCTGTCCCTACAATAAGCATGTTGTTAAAGTAAACTAATTAGGAAGTTTTAGAAATCGGATGTTGTTGTGCTAAAAGATGCAGATATCACAGCCTAGATGTAAGCCACACTACAACATACCAAAACAGAAAGAAAAGTAGCCACAGATTACAAAGACAATTCTACAAAAAGGTAACATTGACATATAGGTTGGTAGTTGCTTGTTAAGGACACGACGATGTCCTTACTATATCATGGTCCTCAAGGAATCATTGGCCACAAGATTTCATCGAGGTATCGTCTATCAAATGTCAGAGTACATGGCAGAGAGAATTATATCATACATTCTAGTAAGTTATTGTTTTTCGTTCACTTCTGGACTCTGATACTGTGTTACAACTTGAGTTTTGTGTGCACGTCAGGTTTACAGATCTGGGTTTTTTTATGCAGACTGATTTTCACCTCTCATGAAGATGCATTCCAACTTGGGAGGTAACACCTATACCTTGTCGCCTTTCACAACATGATCGCTAGTAGTGCGGTGGGTTCATTGTGTATACTTCATAATTGGCCCCAAAACCCATACGGGGAGCATCTGACTGTAGCAGGTCCTTTGTCTCTCTTCACCCTCTATCTGAAAGAAATAGTCTATCGCCAGCTCTCCCATCTCGTGGCTTTTCATATTCAAGGAGTCACTTATATACTGTATCCATCTTTGTATTATTTGCCCCCTTTCTCCTCCTTTCTGGTACTATACCTTCTGCTATGGCGCTTGATATAGCCCAAATATTTTAGCTTCCAAGCCAAAAGGCTGTTTATTAGCTAATCTTCATTGATGTTCATATCTGTTAAAATGTAAGTATTTCTGCTCTTCTTTGTCCGTGGTATTCTGAAAATCTTTCTATAGTATTTCAGCTCAAAAACATACTGGGAGCATACTAGTTTGAAAACTGTTTCAGTATATTAAATTCAATTGCATCGCTGTCAGTAATTTTCTTTGCATTTTTGTTTCTAAATATTAGGAAGTGCAACAACATGGATTTAATTGCTTCTGGGATGTTAAGAAGTACCATGTTTCCACATAAACAAGACCTTGTTTTGTGTACATTTTTGACTTTAAAAAGTCGCATTTGGACTTATTTTAAGGGGATGTCTCTTTTACGTATTAGGTTAGTTGCGTATCCTTTACAGGACGTTGCAGAACCAACCCCAACAGCCCCTTGCTGCTGTGTGGGTTTTCTAGGCAAATGTACGTCCATTAGTTCTTTCACGTATAAGAATCTAAATTATTTTAAGTACACAGAATTACCTTAAGACATGCCATCTTCTTCTGGAACATTTTCATAATCTAATACGTCCATTGTGTGCTTTCACGAACGAACGAAATTCGCCGGTCCACCTGACGATCTTAACAGAGCTTATATTCAGGATAGAGCTTATATCTGGAAAAAAGTTTATTTTACAAGATACGTCATGACAAATTCTGACAGGCTTTATAGTAGAGTGTTTTTCTATTTTCTCCTGGAAAACATTATGCAACAAAGTAATATAGACCACGCTAAGACTTGGTTTAAATCAAAGGAAGTAAAAAAGATGTTGAGAAATAAAAAAATTTAACAAAAACATGGCATCAAATAATAATGATGAACAAATATTAAAGAAAACAGAACTTCTGTAATAGCTACGGAGTGAGGCACTTTAATTTCAATTCGCCCTAAACAAAGAAAATTCGGGAATTCCCGGAAAAATCCAATAATCTATGGGTGTTAGGGTTAGAGTTATTCGGTGTCTCTGAGGCGGTCGACCTAACATCCCTAGAATATTGGACCTTCCCGGAAATTCCCTGATATCCTTTGTTTGGGTGAATTAAAATTAAAGTACCCGAATAGTCGATAACTTGTTGGGTGGAGTGGAAAAAAAGGAGGGGGGGGGGGGGAGAGCTCTAAGAGGCCTGAACCTCCGTCACCAATATTAAATAGGCCACTGTAGCTCTGAAGCTAGGTACCCATGACATGAAAATTTCAGTGTGCCTAACCTTTCTAATCAGTTCAAACCCCGGGCAACAAGTCCCTCCCACCCATCATTTACTGAAAGCATGTACCCATCGCGGCTGTCAATTATTGATAAACAATGCATCCAGAAAGTGGAGCCGTGGCCCAGTTCTGGTTGTGACTGCTATCAGTAAACACACTCCTATTATATATATTCTCGAGTCGGCTCTGTGGCTAAGTCGATGCAAACGCTTCGTAATGCCGGGATGCCGGGTTCGATCCAAGCTGCGGGCCATGCGCCTTGCGTTGGGTTTGATAGTGGTATCAAGAAAGCCCGTCGTTCAAAAAGCAATGGCAAACTACTGGACGTAAATTTGCCTAGAAAACCACACAACAGCAAGGGGCTGTTGGTGTTGGTTCTGCAACGTCCTGTAAAGGTTACGCAACTAAGTAACTAATTATATTATCGACTGGAATGTTCCTGTTTTAGGACCCCTTTAACACAAGTATCGCATAGAGCATAGAGTAAGTAAAAAGATCCCTTCTCCACACTTCAGGTGCATTAGGCATATGTGCTAGACCAATATTGTATATACCAATCGGCACTTAGAGATCACGCGTGATATGGTGAAATTAAAAAAAAGAAACATTTGTGGGAGCTGGGGTCAACATCGACCGCCTTAACTTCCTATGACTTTACTTGGTATCCATTTCATCGATCTGGTACATTTTCATTTTGTTAAAAAAACAATTCCGGGTTTATTCGGATTTGAACCCACGGATCCGCTACAACACGACGGCTCCCGCATACAATAAGTAAAGGTGAAGTAAGGACCCTTGCCCCGCCTTTGACGCATCAGGGGTATAGTCAGATGCATATCAAAAAGACATCTGGCCTCAAGAGCAAAGTGTGCAGAGCAAGCTATGGGAAACCATGAAGGAGCAGGCGAGTTCGTAGAGGCAACCCATCTGATGGTCTGGTCTGAGCATACGAAACTGAACGCAAAGAAGAAGAAGAAGAAGAAGAAGAAGAAGAAGAAGAAGAAGAAGAAGAAGAAGAAGAAGAAGAAGAAGAAGAAGAAGAAGAAGAAGAGGTGCATATGCTCTACATCAGGGCTATTTAACTGCGGCCCAAATATGACCAGCGAAGGCCTAGCAAGTGGCACCCAGATCAATGCTAGTTGTACTGTATTAACGATCTTTCTATCAGTCCATCGGTCTGTGACGATCCCCGGTTTTTTTTTCAAAGATTTGGTTGTTTGAGGTTTCAACAACGGTGAGTCGTTGTGGCATAATAGTCAACCCATAACCCATAACGCTATCAAGATGACACTTGGGGTGGGCGGGGGAGAAGGCGCATCAAAATCTAAGCGCTTAGTGCATTAAAGAGTCCTACTCTAGCTCACACCCACAGAGTTTATCAGTCTATACAATCGTGGGGCCGGGAGCACATGGTTGGTGCGTCTCATTTCGGTCAAAGACTAATGTACTTACTTATTTCATTGTTTCAGTTGTCTGCCCTTGACGACTCAAGCTACATGATGGTAAACACAGAACACAGACCAGCGCCTGCTGTTGACATCATACCCTCTGAAGAGCTGGTCCAATACATTGATCCCTCCCTACTGACGCTCAACTATAACGACATTTTCATCAGAACTACAATAATATTCGGATCCTTTTCTTTCTTTGCTTTTGTCTTCCTCTGCGTTCTTGTCACATGCAACATATTCACATCTCTAAGAATACTTGGACTAAAATTCAAAGTATTTCTCAGCCTATCGTTCGTAAGAGGCTTGTACGGTCTCTTTGCAATTGTTCTTGGCTGCTACGCAATTTTCCAGACAACAAACCTGGACAGGGATGTAGTGTTTGGGACCAATGCGACATCACAAGTAGCAATGCTTTTAACTGTGGGCTTTTTTATATTTGAGCTATCTGCTGTTATACTGTCCGACATTGCTTTTAGGACTTTCTCTTTTATGCTACTTACCCATCACGGGCTCGCTTTGATAGCATATACAATGGCTATTATACTCAATGCAAACTTCTGCTTTGGGTGCAAGGGACTAATACTGGAAATGAGTACCCCGTTTTCGTGTTTGTGTTATGTTCTTCTTAAAGTCAACATGGAACATTCTAGATTGTGGAAAATCAACCAGGTTATTCTCGTGCATACATTCCACCTGCGAAATGTAGTGGAATGCCATCTGTGGTATATTGCCTACACAAATTGGCAGCATATCTACAATTTCATGCCTAGTGGAATCTTTTTCATGCTGTTTGCTAATTTGACTCTGATTACCTTCATCATGACACCGTACTGGGGTTACAAGAAAACTCAGCAGCTGTTCAATCCCGTTGACTGGAACTTCCAGGAATCAAGAAACACTGATCACCTGGCTAATGGAAGTGTCAAACAGATTGATCAAGAAAGTAAAAAGGACGATTAGGTTTTTTAATGTGAATGATATTCCTAGCTTTATTACTTGAACTTTTCTACGAATCAAGAAACACAAATCATTTGAGTAACGGAAGTGTTAAACCATTGATCAAGAAGCTAAAGAGAGTGAATGTAACGGACGCTTTCATTTTTGTTTCTTTGGTTTCCAAGGATACATAAAAACAGATCATCTGGCTAAGGGAAGTGTCAAACAGACTGATCAAGAAAGTAAAAAAAAAAGGACGGTTACACTGTTAATGTCCCTATGCTTGTAACTTAATTTATTGAACTTCTAAGAATCAAGAAAACAAATCACCTGGCTACAGCGAGTGTTCAAAGCATTCGCAAAGAAACTGAACAAGGTAATTGTAACGAACACTTCTAATTTATTTAGTTTCCTAAACTTCAGCGGATAAATAAAAGCCGATCATCTGGCTAATGGAAGTGTCAAACAGATTGATCAAGAAACTTAAAATAATGAATAGACTGGTAATGTACCTGATGCGTGTAGCTTTGTTTCTTGGACTTCCTTCAGTTGCCCCCCCCCCTTCCCCAAAAAAATGAAAGGGGTGGTGGTGGGGGGGGGGGGGTGTCTGGGTTCAGATAACCTGTGCGAAAAGTTTTCAAAAAACTAAAAAGAGTGATCAATTCTTCAATGTACCTGAGGCTTCCAGTTTCATATCTTGAACTTTCGGTAATTAAACAACACATATCTCTTAGCGAATGGTAGCGTAAATAGATTGATCAAGAAACCAAAAGAATTGATTGTTTCGTTGATTTGTCTAATGTTTACAGCTTTATCTCTTAAACTTCTGGGAATTAAGCAAGTGACACGGATGGATGTATTAAAAAGATTGATCAAGAAACTAACACGACTGATTATATTGTGAATGTACCCGATGTTTCTGGCTTCTTTTCTTGATCTTCCGAGAATCATGGATTCTCAGACCAAGAAAAGAATGAAACATCGGGTACATTCACAATATACATGATTCAAGAAACTCAAAAAGGTTTATTAGAAACATGGCTACATTTTATAATCAGTCGTGTTTCTATTGTTGATCAATCTTTGAATGGATGCTGTCAAGAAACTTTTTTTCCCATGAATCAGGAAACAACAACACAAATTAGAAACAAGAATTTTTTTTTTTTTTTTTTATGAATCAGAAAACGATTAATTTGCATTCAAAGTTTATGGTTAAGCACCATCAAGTAAATCAAAATTAAAATTCTGAGAGCATGCATCTTCCCTGTAGCAACATGTGGATGTGAGTCGTGGACTATCTCCTAGTCCCTAAGAAAGAAAATAGGCGCTATTGAGATGAAATGCTATAGAAAGATTCTCAGAAAATCATGGACAAATAAGAGGAAAAATAACAGACATTTTAAAAGATCAAGGAAGACTGGCTAATTTTGATAAATCAAGCGCTTTGGCGAATGGAAAGAAATAATAGCAGAAAGTATGGTACCAGGAAGGAGGAGCAGGCGACGACCAACACGAAGATGGGCACGGGATATTAGTGACTCATTGAGTATGAAAGTGCACGTTCTGAGAGCGACGTTCTGCAAAGGACCTGTTACATGATGGATCAGGAAACAGATAACATATGAAATAGAAGTTCAAAAATGTTTATTAAGAAACTACAATGTCTTTGGATTATTGCTGTACCTGATCCTTCATCTCCTAACTTCTAGAGAATTCAGAAAAACAGATCAACTGGTGAATGCAAGCATTAAATTTGCTGATCAAGAAATTAAAAAAAAAAATTAAAATACTAACAGTGCATTTGTTTCGTTAAACTTATAAAAGTCAAGAAACTGCATGATAGAAGTGTGAAAACTGTTAATTAGGACACGAAAGAAAGCGAATGCATTGTTAATGTACCTGATGTTTACAGCTTCTTTTCACCTAAACTTCTGAAAATCAATAAATACAGTCAGACGGTGAATGCAGGTGTTTAATAAGCTTATCAGAAAGCTAAGCGATATCGATTGTGTCATGTTCTAAAGCGTAGAATAATAACTTGCTATGGTTTGTTCATTCTATAGTAATCGTCTTTGTCGGTTTTAGTGGCATTCTAGTTGATTTGATTATTCTGTTCTTCTGTTGATAAGAGACTATTACGTCAGGTTGTTCTTCAGATGCACCTTCCTTAGCTAGTTCATTAGCTCTTTCATTTCCATGAACCCCACAGTAGGATGTCCACTGCCTAGTTACCTTACAAATGTGCTTAGTATAGAGAGTAGCTAATTCTCCAGATTCCAGTGACTGAAGTACCGCTCTTGCCACTGTCAGGAATACCATGAGGTTGTGAAACATATTTTTGATGACTTGAACTTCTGTATAAAAGTTGTGACAACGCTTTCCTGTTAGTATTTTGGCTGTATATCTGGTATTATTTGAATGCTCAGTGTATCACACACACACATTCACACACACACACACACACACACATTATATATATATATATCAGGTTCTGACACAGAATATCTTCCACGCCATGATCTCACTCTGCCCATAATTTCTCTTTTTCTGTCTCTCTCTCTCTCTTTCTCTATTTCTCTCTCTCTCTCTCTCTCTCTCTCTCTCCCTCTCTCTCACTCTCTCTCTCTCCCCTCCCCCCCCCCCCCCTCTCTCTCTCTCTCTCTCTCTCTCTCTCTCTCTCTCTCTCTCTCTCTGCCTTCCACTGCCTCTTACCCTCCAACTTTGCCCCGTCACGATGTACTTAAGTTTTCTCCTTCTCCTAACATGACCAACGGAAATTAGCTGCAGTAAATTAGGCCGCAGACCCTTTTGCACTGATCTGAACACCAGTGTGCTAGTCGACCGTCTAGTATGCAATAGCAAACTACTTACGGTAAACTTTACCAATAAAATCGTGAACAGCAGTAAATCCTGGAGTATGTTTAGGATGTCGTGCAAAAGATATGCAACTAACTTTCCATTATATATATATATCAGGATCGGAAAGGGGAGGGGGTGTTCAGCTTTCTAATAACTTTCTAGGTGTAAAGGTTGAGTCTGGTATAAATGCTGCCGCAGCTAACATACAGATCTATATTAAACCGCCGCTCCACGCATCAAACCCACCCCCAACCCCCCCCCCCCTCTCCCCATTTTTTTTATGGGCACCAAAAACAAAAACAAAAAGGCACAAACTTTTATAAGACTCTTAGCTTTGCTTTTTGAAGGTCGTGGATTCGTTTCACGGGCAGCGTCGTTCGTTTCATGGTTGCAATTTTTTTAAATTAATGAAATCTCTGGAGATCATCGCTGGAGCTAAGCAGTTCCTGTTTTGTGCGAAGCTTTGGGCAAAAGGTCAGCTGTTGTGTGGAGATTTATCGGGATATATGGGATTAAAACCGTTGAAATTAGGAAGGGTTTTTTTTTTGGGGGGGGGGGGGGGGGGACTTTTAAAAGCAAAAAGTGTTAAGGTAGATATAGGCTAAACACAATAACGACAGGAATAAGCCACTAAAGCAGAGAAAGAAGCAGATAAAGCTATCATCTTCTTCTTTAGCCTTCTGAGTCATTCAGGTTTGATGTTGGAGATATATCCTGACTCCATGCGTCTCTTCGATTGGTATTCTATTTCGAGTTAGAGACTCCAAGTGTGTACGTCAATCACAGGTAAGGATGTTGGCCCTAAAATGCATCTCCCGATCTCGAGGACTACGATAGCTTTATCTGTTTTCTATCCCTTGATCAATCCAGCTTGCGTGTGTGTGTTTGTGAGGGAGAGGGGGTTAGGCTCATGGGGTCATAGTATCTTGGCTCCTGCTAAGCATAGCTCTCGGAGTCACTGAGAAAGTCAAAGCTCTCACATGTAAATACACATTTAAGAGAACAGATAAATATTTATGCTATTAGTGGAACAAAGGCGAGAATAAACATATTTAAGAATAAACAGACGCATATTGATTTGCAAGAAATAATAATGGTAAGCTGCGCTCTTCTCTTTCGCTCCTGTGCACTTTGAATCAAATTATAGATGGCGTGTTAACAACATTACGCACAGTGGTGATCTAATTAAGAACGGCGGTAATCGGCTTTTATTGTCCAATCATTGTTATTAATATTTCAAATATTACCTGCCAGGTTACCAAAATAAACCAGCGACAAAATTATTACATAAGATGACAACTCGGTTACAAAAAGAGTCACATTGATTTTAAACAGTTCCGGCCTGGCCTTAAACAATGAGAACCTGATTACATACACTAACAACCTGGTAACGATCAATCAACGGCGTGTCATCTCCACAGTCAAAGTTGCCAGCGATGGATCTCCAAAACGCTCTGCCATTCGCCGTAGATGTCCACTCTCCCGAGACTGCAGTTTGTCCAACTCTTGATGTTATCCTCCCACGTGTATCGCTGTCTGTCTCATGCTCGCTTGCTTAAACTATTTCCCTCCACTTTGGTTTTTATAAGAGGGTTATCTCTTTTAATGGGGGCCGTCGAGGTGTAGCGGCTAGACGCTCGCCTGCGGATCGGAAGGTTATGTGTTCGGGTCCTGGCGGAGCGGGACTTTATATCGACCCAGCCTTTAGATTCAGCCCAACCTTAAATGTATACCAGATACAGTCCTGGGAAGTAAAGACGGCTGGTGTGATGTTGACCATATAATCCACCAAGTGCCAATTGATCCATAAAACATCAGTTTAGCCCTATATGCCCAATACGCCTGAGGGTGTGGGAATGGGTCCTTTACATTTTTATCTTTTTTCATAAATTATAAAGTTGTGCCTCGTCTCCACAAAATCCAGAAGTGGACAAACAACTATGATGAAAAAAAAGAAATAACAGAGAGATAAATTAAACAGGTGCATTTACAATTATAGGCTACATTTTCCTTTCAGAAGAAAGTGTGGACACAGAAATCAACATGCTTCTTCTTCTTCTTCTTCTTCTTCACTTAATTTCACTTGCTGTCTCATTTAGAATTGGTTCTGTGCTTATGATTGGGGTTGTCTTATGCTGTAAGAGGGGGGCTAGCTGTCCCAATAC